AATTTGCCTAATATTGTTCAGAACTTCTTATCATTTTAGCATTTTCTTGTTGTTTGAGACGTTATAAACAATTGAAATCTTAAACAATGCCATGTGGGTTCTCTATAATACCATTGCACAATAGCTATCAATTAAGGTTTGAGTATTACATTTATGTTTACTTGTCGAACAATGTGCAATTATAGTTGTTCCACCGTTTGCCTTGCAGCTGGCATAGTTGTTGCCTCTTTCCGTTCTATTGGAGGGATGTGGTATGCAAGGAGATTCACTATGGACGCAAGATGATGGGCAATTTCAATAGGAAATGGTAAAATTGCATTTACAACTATAGGTTGCCTACCTACCTGTTGTTGCGGGGCTGTTTGTAGGCACAAATACAGAGCACAATAGATATTGACTAGAAGAGATAATTCCTTATTTGCCATTGTCCTATTTTTCATCGAAAAGTTATCTGCCATAATTTAACTTTTATCCTTTACCTTCCTCTTAGCTCCGTCAAAATATGTGACCATTTAATCAATTAATAATTAGAAGGCTTATATGATTTGGTGAAATTGCCCTTGTGGAACTCCCACCCGTCAATTAGTGATGTTTTATGGACCACTTCTCTTTTGTGAAACCATATTGCAATAATGCTTTCTCTACTTATAGAATGATGGACATGCAAAATCTACTGTCTCCTCGTAAAAATCAAAATCATTCCTAGATGATATACGCCATGTCGCCATCCTGCTCGTACGTACGTGCCAGAAGATCGAGCACGCCACTTCGGCATCAAATTCGCTGATCGCTTACGGGTAGGCAGAATTAGTGATTAGTGTAGACACATACACGACGCATGTCCCAGATCAATGAAGGGCGTGGAGGCCAGTTGGGTAGCAGGCATATGCACGCATGTGGATTGTGGAGACGGGTCGATAGATGGAGAGCAGATTCAAGAGTCTGGCCGCCACTTTACTCGCTGTCGTTGGAACATCAACGTCGTCCGAGTTAGTATAAGAGATGGGCAAACTAAGTGCTTGTGCTGTTCATGAATGAATGAATGAAGTCAATCATAAACCGGGACAGCGTCGAACCGTCAATCGGGCAGATCCGAGAGGTTGCTTCGGATTCAAGCACTTGTGCAGACACGGTAAACTATATATATATACATTCTCCTCAAACGATTTTCATTTCGTTACAACAGTAGATGCGCATCATGTGTCGACAAACGCTGCGAAGAAGCTCATAGATTCGGTGTGAGTAGGTTTAGTCGCGGTTGGTTTGTGCTTTACGTTTGGTCAGATTCGGTGTGAAGAAGCTCATAGATCTTTTTTTTTAAATCTTTTTTATATCCAACCAAACTGGATGAAAAGTTGTTTGAAGGGGATTGATTCAGTGGACGAACTACAAGAGGTCACACCATATCATCAGCGAGCTCACCGCAACCGTCATGTAAAATCCGACAGCACTACACCACAGCCTTTGAACAGCGACTGATTTGAAGTTGCCGAAATGGGTGTACAGCGATGGACAGTCAGTCAGTCGCTAAAGGTTATAGTGGCGGACCTCCGCAGTTGCTAATGAAGCCGTTGTTATATGTAAACAGCGACGGACATAGATTTTTAGCAACTGACAATTCGACGGTCCAACTTTTAGCGACCAACAGCATGTTACAGCTTTTAGCGACCAACAGTTCATCGCAATAAAGAAATGGAAGCTAAGTATTTAAGCTGGCAGTCCTTTTTTTTTTGTGGCTACATCAAGCTGGCAGTCTAACCAATTATTTTTAAAGCAATCGTGCAATGTGAAAATTGAGAAAGATGAATATCATGCTCACCCAAGAAGATAGATGCGGACATATACCGCAGAGTAAATCCCGCATGCCCAATAAGTACAGGTTCTGGCATTTTCATTGCTGCAGGCATCCAGTTCAGAAACCGGATATATGTTGACAAATCTGCATTCACGAAAACAGTTCCTAATTGCCTTGGCATTTTCTGATTTAGAAAGACTGCACCTAATCTGTTTCACCCCAACATTTGGGAGTGTTAAACCTTTTCATCTCTATAGGTATTACTGGATCAGGTACACAAACAGCTTGGTGATGATCTCATTGATCATGTACTTTTCCATTTCAGTGATTGTCCCTAATTTCTCTTTGCTGATTGCCACGGTGTGCCATTAACTGACTACAAACAACTTCGAACAAGTCAGGTCCAGGTCCATTACCTGAATCGAGCTTCCTGGTCGAGTTTTAGGCGGACAGCAGTGGCCCGCTGTGCGACGATCCCAGAGGGGAACGGGAAGGGGAAGGAGCAGCGTTGACGGTGACCATCGCGGCTTCGATTCGAATGGCGCTGGCCGCTGATAGTGGCCTGCTCCAGGGCTATCCCTCCACGCAAAGATCTCGGGGCGGGACGATCCTAGGGAGGGGGACGGAGCGGCGACGGCGACCTCCGGGGCCTCGACCGGCGCTAGTGGCTGCTTCGCCGATTGACCGCATCCGGCTTGCTGCTAGATCCGGGGGAAGGAGACGAAGAAGCCTCAAGCTGTCCGGGCGTCCGGCCCGGGCGCCTGGGTGGCGGGGTGGCGGCGACGGCCGTCCAGCCCAGGCGCCGGGACACCAAGGTGGTAGCGGCGGCCGTCTGGTCCGTGCGCCGGGTTGGAGGCGGCGAACTTCCGGCCGGCAGGCGAGCGGGGTGGAGGTGGCGGACATCCGGCGGGCGTGCGTGCGGCGGCGGCGGGCGGTCAGCGGGGTGTGGAGGCGGCGCGTGGAGGGGTTGCAGTGGAGCAGAGAGAGAGAGAGAGAGAGAGAGAGTGCGTATCTGTTTTGGTAGGACGGGTGGTGACTTTAGGGTTTTCACTTGGCTTTTGGGCCAAAATTTCGCTGGAGCAGGCTTAAAACATCGCGTAAATAGGCAGTTGTATTTAGCGACCGGTTCGACTCAGCTGTGCTATACAGCGACCGATGATTCAATACAAAAGTAAAATATTTACGGCAACGTACCATCCATCTTAGTATTTGATATTAGCAATTGACGGTTTGAGAAAAAGCTTTAACGACCCACCGTTCAACGGTAATGTTAACTTTTAGCAAGAGACCTTAGATGCTATTGTAGTGTTAGTGGTGTAGTGCAGCAACAAGTTGTTTGTCGTCTCATTGTCCGTGTCCATCTTTAGTACCTTGCTGAACCAAACCAACAACTCTGCACTACGTTTAGTTGTTCGATTCCGTTACAAAAATACGCTATCGATTGAAGGGCAAAGCATGTAACCTCTGTATCAGTGAAGTGTTACACGGGTGGGTATCTTTACGAGAGTTGGGAAAGAACTGATTTTGGTGCAGCAGCCTACTGCCATCAACTGTAGAATGAGGTTTGTGGGATGCCATACGGTCGCCAACACTAGCTCTGACTAGTACCGGTTACGAATTCGAAGCTGTAGAACCGTAGAAACCTTAAGCTGGATGCAGACACGGATTAGAATTCAGAGAACGCCTTTCAAGTCTGAGGCCATCTGCAGCCATCCAGAGCTGCCCCAAGAAAGAAAGCTCCCCACCAAACTGCACAGGACGGTAAACTACTGGTACTGTGCTACCACGCATTTGCATCATTGCCAACCCCAAACCTGTCCGGCTGTCCCCATCTCTCCCAAATTTTTGCCTCCGTATTATGATTCTTTGTTTGAATAAATTTTGCATCGCCGAACCAACTAGACTCAAAAGATTCGCCTCGTGATTTACATTATGTAATTAATTATTTTTTTACCTATATTTAATGCTTCATGCGTTCGTTTAATATTTGAGAGAGAAAAAAAACTGGGATTTTTGATGGGATCTAAACAAGGCCCGGCTGTCCCATCTCTCCCTCCCTCTGGGCCTCATGATTCTGTTGCAAAGGCTGCATTTACCGAACCAACATGAGGCTGTGTTAATCGTAAATTTTTTTCACCTACATTTATAACTCCATTTACATTTTGCGTTTGATAAAAACTTTATTTAATTATGGAAAACTAGTTAAAAAATTAAAATTTTACAGATAATTAGCCTTTTTGGCTTTGTTTCACCTTTTCGTTCCCTAAAATGCTGTGCCCCTGAAAAGATTCCCCGTCTTCTCGTCACCGCTGATACAGATTCATCACGCAGAGACTCCCCGCTCAATTATCATCTGTCTCGCTTTCTTTTCGGGCCACTGTGACTGCAGCTGGACGGCTGTATCACTGACTTTCACACTGTACTGTGCATGGACCTGGACCCTCCTCTCCTCTGTCCTCTCTCTCTCATCCATAACGACATGGCACCTTTGCACCACGCTGCTGCCAACTAGTACTAGCAGTACCTCTTGAAGACTTGGGCTGTGTTCGGCTGGCTGGCTGGCTGATTGCCGGCTGGCCACCCATCTCACAAAATCACTATTTACGTCCTGTTAGAATAGTATTTATCTCTCACAATAATTAGTCGAAATAGTATTTTTCAGGTCGCGAATGACTTGAAACCGAGTATTTTTCTCTCACAACACTCTGGTGGCCTTTTTCGGTCCCGCCGAACAGGGCCTCCAGGGTGGCCCCAGGGCCCTGACGAGGCCGAGCTTTGCATTTGCAGGCACTGGCGCACTGCATTGGTTTGGTTCTTGTTCCTGAGCAGTTGAGCCGCGCGCACCAACTTGTTTTGCATAAGGTATTGTATTGTCTTCGGAGTTGCAGTCCTGTTCTTCCCTCGCCTGCTTTTAATCTTTTAATCTCCATTTGCGTAGGTTCAATCTACAGTTTACAAATGCTTTGCATCCTGCTGTTGTAGTCCAACAATAAAGCAATAAATAACTCATTTTTTTGTCACATGGTGTGGTGGCTTGCCGAGTGCTGATGCACACATTTTTCTTCTCCTTCCACCTTTGCTGCTGCTGCAGTTCTTTGGCACGGCGTTGTATGTATCACATGCCATGTGAGTAGCTGAACCACAGCTCACTCCAAGTGCTGCAGCGGCAGCCCATTCCACTGCTGGATCTCCCCGAGGTTCCGCGATGGAGCAGTCCTGCTGTTACTTCCCGCTGCGGTGGGAGAGCACGGGCGACCAGTGGTGGTACGCGTCGCCGATAGACTGGGCGGCGGCCGACGGCCACTACGACATCGTCCGCCAGCTGCTGCACCTCGACCCCAACCTGCTCATCAAGCTCACCTCCCTCCGCCGGATCCGCCGCCTCGAGGCGCTGTGGGACGACGACGCCCGCTTCGCCGACGCCGCCAGGAACCGCGCGTCCGTTGCCCGGAGCCTGCTGCTGGAGTGCGAGTGCAGGAACCCGAACCACCACCTCCCCGCCGCCGCCGGCGGCGGCGGCGGGGAGAACACGCTGCTCCGGGCCGGGTACGGCGGGTGGGTGCTCTACACGGCGGCCTCGGCCGGGGACGCGGCGTTCGTGCGGGAGCTGCTGGAGAGGGACCCGCTGCTCGTGTTCGGAGAGGGCGAGTACGGCGTCACGGACATGTTCTACGCGGCCGCCAGGGGCGGGAGCACGGATGTGTTCAGGCTGCTGCTCGACCACGCCATGTCGCCGAGGTGCTCGACGAATTGCCGGAACGGCGAAGGCGGTGCCGGGCGCGGCTCCGTGTTCCGCCTTGAGATGATGAGCCGGGCCGTCCACGCCGCCGCGAGAGGCGGGAGCGTGGAGATGCTCAGGGAGCTGCTCGAGGAAGGGCCCTCCAGCGTGTCGACGTATCTCGACATCCGTGGATCCACAGTGCTGCATGCCGCCGCTGGGAGAGGGCAGCTGCAGGTGAGCCATCGACACTTGCTATTGCTTGTGTCACATCTTTTGCAAATGCTTTCTTAACCGTTCTTGCTGTAAGCCTGGATCCTTTCTTGCGTGGATGATTATTATCAGTTGTATACATGTGCAGCAAACATGTAAATGTAGTGTTCTGTGGATCAAGGACACTCTTCTTTAGGATGTTTACATGCTTTTCGGATTCTGATACGCTTCTAGTTCTTCATGTTTTGAACGGTTTTTTTTTAATTGATCAGGAGGGGGGTTTGGCCCCTACTGTGATCAATTAATTAAATAAAAGGGGAAAGGTTCTGTACAAACAAAACAAAACAAAAAAAAAGGAGAAGAGGATTCAGGTTGAACTTTCGGTTTAGCAAGGATCTGCATACAGACTACAGAGGATGCATTTCATTAAAAACTTAGTTGGTTTGCTTTAGAACAAACTACTATGTGCTTGTATTTTTCTCAGCTAGATTGATAGTGAAAGGAAATTGTTCATCTAGAAATGCTGAGTGTCACCTAAGTTCACTTTGTTGCTTCAGTAATTCTATAAAGTTCTTTTTTTCGAACGGACACAATTCTATCAATAAAGGAGCATCAAACAAGTTTTATAGTTTAATGTGACGGTAATATCACATCCACACGGATAACGTTCCTTGAGTGATTTTAATCCCTGGTTATTGTAATCCTGCATTAAGCTAGGGTGTCACTATATACTTGTTGGCCAGACTTTTCTATTTCATGGTCATAACGTGTAGGAAGTTTAGTTAGACATAAAAGCTAGCTTTCTTTCCAATCAATATGTCCCTTTCCAATAACTTGAGAACAAAGTGAATATACTTTCTGCTGTTCCAGTTTAGCTCAAAAAATTCACCAGAAAGTTCTAGTTTTTAGATCCACAAACTTCTTGGTGATGCTATGCAGCCAAACTTTCTATCCACTTCCTGTTGTTGATATGCAGACAGCTTTGTTACTGTTTCTTGATGTTGCTATGCAACCATCTTTTTTGCTACTTTCAGTTGTACCAATGAATTGGAAAGTAGAAGATTCCTATTTCTACACCTCATCTTCTAAGCATACCTTATGCAGGTTGTCAAGTACCTTCTGGCCTCTTTCGACATAATCAATTCGACTGATAATCACGGGAACACAGCACTGCATGTAGCAGCCTATCGAGGGCACCAACCTGTTGTGGAAGTGTTGGTTGCTGCGTCTCCATCAACCTTGTCAGCTATTAACAATGCTGGTGACACGTTTCTCCATTCGGCAGTTACAGGATTCAGGACCCCAGGATTCCGACGGCTTGACCGCCAATTGGAGCTGATGAGATACCTCATACGCGAAAGAACTGCAGATATCCAGAAGATCATCAATCTGAGAAACGATGCAGGCCTTACAGCCCTCCACCTGGCTGTGGTTGGCTGTGCACACCCAGATCTGGTCGAGCTATTGATGACCACCCCGTCAATCGACCTGAATGCTGAAGACGCTAACGGCATGACTGCGCTGGCGCTTCTGAAACAGCAGCTGCGTTCAGCAACATCCGACCGGCTCATCAGGCAGATAGTTTCTGCCGGAGGGGTCTTGAATTCCAGCATTCTGAGAACCCGATCAGCCATTGCTTCTCAGATCAAGATGCAGGGTGGGATTGCAAGCAGTCCCGGTACCACTTTCAAGGTATCGGATGCAGAGATATTCTTGTTCTCGGGTATGGGAGCAGTAGAGTCTCTAAGACCAAGCTCGTGCTCCAGCAATGGGAAGGATGACCCTACTCATGCAGATGCATATTGCACCGATAACCATGGATTATCAGAGAAGAGGCTGAGCTCTGCGAGCCGGGCCAAAGACCGTCTCAAGATGATGCTGAGATGGCCTCGCCACAAGGATAAGACACCCAAGAAATCAGAGGACAGCAGCCCGCTGGACTCGATCAAGAAGCTGAGTGAGCACGGGGCCGAGACCCCTGCTCCACTAAGGCAGAAATTTACCAAAACAACGGCGCTCAACTGCAAGCGGACCCTAGCGGTGAAGAGCTCCACCCCAAGCTCCTCGTCCACCAAGAAGAAGCTCAACACAAAGCTCATACACGGCATCATGGAGGCCATGCCACAGCTTGCACCGTCTACCGCACGGTCTGGGTCCCCAACGGACACGCTCCTGAGGACCTCGATATCATCCACACCTCAGCCGCTGGCGAAGCTGAAGGATATCTGCCTCGATGACGAGATCTCCATGGTGACGCCACCTGTTGGCAAGCTGAAGGACATCGTCCTGGACAGTGACGACGCTACGGAGGACCCCTCGTGCTCCAACTCGTCCATGGACGACGGCTGTGGCACCGGGGCGGCGGAGAGCGCGGCCCGGAAGCACGGGTGCGGCAACGGGAGGCTGATCAACATCTGCTTTGGCGCGCAGGGCCTCACTGTGGAGGACTCGGCGAGCGGGCAGCAGACGAGCAAGATGTTCAAACAGCAGTGCCTGAGGGTGTCCTGATTGACGGCATATCGCCATCGGCGTGGTGTCTCAACTGCATCCAACAACGTGTATTGTATCATAGATTCACGGCGTGGTGTGATTGGTTTGGTGCCTCGCGTGCAGCTATGCGTGCTTGTTTTCTTGTTGTGCATCCTGCCTTGCATAACCAGTGGTGAACTGGTAATCCAATGAATCTGTGCTTGTGTTAACTGTTTTTTTGAAACAATTGCTTGTGTTAACTGTGACGTTGAAGAATTCACAGCTCTTGGTTTCTAACTTTCAGTGTCAGATCGTACATTCTTCAACGAATCACCGTTGATGAATCACTTTCTCGAATTTTACAGCCTACCAACTGTGACGGACGGGTCAACAACCCAGCCCAGCAATCTCAAACGGGGATGCCATTTCTCAATGGCATGTTCAATCAATCAGAGCACTGGCGTCCTGATGAAAAAATGTCAAACGGAAGACAGTGATTGCGCAAGAAATGGTAATTACAGAGAAGACTGGACGTGCATCTGCAAAACAATCTCTTGTAAATGCTGAGCAAGAGCGGTTCTTTTCGCTCATGCGCAACAAATAGCTAGCACTTCCTTCACTACATCAAAATTCGGATTTACAGCAGGAAGCAACTAGCCCAACTGCTACACAATCTAAAACAGAGAAAAAAAAAAGAAAAACAGGCTAAATGAGCCGCTGAGCAAACCCGCTTGAAATGGAAGTTGCAGCAAATAATGAGCCATTTGAACTTCACTAGTTCGGTCTTCGGTGGCATCATTCAAGCCGTTTTTGTACGGTGGCTATAGGCACATAAATATGTTCATTTGACCAACTCGATCTCCTGTGCGCCTCATCAAAGCAAATGACCACTCATTTACCAATTATGCAAAGATTATCTTCATCCTTCCCACGCACATTTTAACAAACCAGCAGCAGCAATCTGGCGGAGGGCTTTCACCACCAGTTCAGAACCAATTGAGCATCCAACATGCGCTACTGTCCAACCATGGTGCCACACATGGTGGCCCACAAGAGGCGATCACTTTGTTGGATCAACAGGTTGACACCAGCCTCTGCCCTTGACAGGGCATGGCAAAACACAGCACCATCAGTTTATCTCTCCTTCCTCTGCTTCTTTAATGCTGGGAACACTGCTCGGTTCTTCGTCATCTTCCTCATCATCTGCCTTTATGAACAGTCCAAGTTGCTCCAAAGGATTGACAGATCCCGGATGATAGCCGGCCATGCCATCCTGAGAGCGCTCTGGACTAGTCTCGTCAACAGAGCTTACAATATGTTCTGTTGTGGCTGTTCCAAGCATTTCCAAATCCTTGAGATGGAGGTTATCATTAATTTCTACAGTTCTCTCCATCTGCATAGAGGATTTATTTTCTTATAGCAACAATAAAAAATGAGAAACTGCAACTGCTGGTGGGTGAGGTCTACACTTGCCTCTTGTAGGGCCTGACGAGCCTTCTCCCTCTCAAAGTCCCGTTTACGCTTAGCTTCAGCTTCAGCTTCGGCTCTACGAGCCTCCATGGCTGCATTACCTTCAGCCAACAGCCGGGCTTTCTCTGCATCCACAAATAAGGAGAAAACACCCTAGTGTAAGAGAGAGAGAGAGAGAGAGCAACTAGCAGCGAACAAGACAGGTGGGCAAACTTTTTACCTTCCTTCTGGAGTTTTTCCAGTTCCTCCTGTTTGTCTCCACCCTGAGCTCAGGAGTCAATGAAGGCCAGGGATGAGTCAGATTATGACCTCATATACAGAATCAATAAAGAAAGATGATAACTGAACAAAGTCCTATACCTGACTAAGAATGCCGCGAGCTTTGACAATCACATCAGCATAACGGCTCCTCAAAAGGGCTGCTCGCAAAAGCCTGTCCGGTGAGACTTGTGTATCGGGTTTTGAGTTTTCCCCTAAATATTTCATTGGGAAAGGATCAGACGATCCGATCAGCTTAGTGCACTGAGACCGGTCAATGGCCTCATACATACCGGCCTACAAATTCATGCTTACCCCCTGGTGCAGGCTTTGACTCACTGTCCTCCCCATGGAGTCCCACAATATCAGCAGGACCTGTGGTTTAACAACCTATTAAAGACGATTCAAATATAGTTTGTAACGTAACAACTAAATAATGATTGGAAGTACGCCATACGGTTGGCATCAGCTGGGCTAATAACATCACTCTTTTCTTGCTCCACCAGCTGGTCAGGTTTCTTAGTCCCCTATAATTTTGGAAAAACAAATTATTCAGTACAGATCAGTCAACTAAATTGGAAGGGAATCCACATCCTTGCCACAAGAAAATTACACTATAATATAAAGGTTGAAGGTGACCATAATGCTGAACAACGCAAACATCATATTGCCAAGACAATTTTAGTACAGTTTTGCAGAATAGGGCATTACCGGACAATGCCTTAAGGCAAAAGTTAACTTATACTACACATAATAAAGAACTAAGCTACTAAGCTATTTGATAAAGACCACAAATCTGTCAGGGATGGAGCAGCAAGAAACAGGATAGTCATGCTCCCAAGCACCAATGCTTACTAAGGTAGCTAGCAGACATTAGAATATTTAGAAAGGTAATGACCTGGTTTCAGGATGGAACATTTGCAAATACTTGTGCCTACTAATTATAGAACAAAAGGGCATTATGATATTTTGGTAATGGGTATCAAGTATTTGAAGACAGAGGTAAGTGTGACAAGTCCGCATACATAAGACTGGTCAATACACCCCAGAACAAAACAAAACAAAAGTGATGCTTTGGAAACTGATAGTCTACAAAACACAACTTTGAGTAACATTAAATATAGCAAAAATGCACTTTAAAGTTACTATATTTCAAGACAAATCTACTCATCCTCGGATCATTTTTAGACACATCCAAACTCAACGCACAAAAAGTAAGTAATTTGTACCCATTCAGGTTGTTTATTTGGGACAACCCCTATAAGCATCACTTATTCGTAGTTGTAACTGGATGGAGTAATATATTTCAATTACAAAGCACTTGGCAGCAAATAGCCCATAATCCATTCACTAATACTCCGTATAAGATTTAAAGGTCTGTATTATTTCTGAAGCACCCAATACCTTCGCAAGCTTTCCAGGGCTGCCAACCTTTTCTGATTCACTTTCAGAGTCACTGCCTGAGTCAGAATCTGCATTACCCGACAACACTGTAAACATCTTGAACTTTCAACATCTCAAAACAGGAAAAGTTTCAGGAGAATTATACTTTTTAAGGTTCTGTATAATGCACAAACAATCAATAGTTTGCAGGAGCTTTACTATTACTAAAGGGCTTAGTCTGCTAGAAATTATAGTAGGATGGGGGTTATGAAGCATGATGTCCTGCATCAACTTCATTGAAATAGCCCAATTCAAATATCTTCAAGATCCTGCTAAAGAATTACTAAAAGGGAAAACATGATATTCATGGCATTTATGGAGTACCATGTTATCTCCTCTAATTTTAGTTCCTTGCCAAATTTGTAAGTCATTGCCCAGAGTTGAACTAATATAGAAATATGATATACCAAAACAAAAAGACATGAAGAGATAATATCCATGTTCTCAAAGAATTTACAATACAAAACTGGGAAGAAAAGCAGCACTTTCTTTACACAAGAATGTCTATAATGATATGAACAAATGAAGATAAACACCATGAGACACAGACCGCTAGAAGATGATTCAGAGTCGCTGCTGGAACTACTTGGACTACCGCACTTGCTATTCCTGATTTGTGCATCTTTGTCTAACATGATAGGGGAGGCATTGCCACAGATATCCACATCCTCCTCGATGGGCTCGCCACCTGCAAGCAAACCAAAAATTGACTACTGCACAGAAGGTGTGTAAATTAAATCTATTGAGAATTTCGAGCTAGAAGAAAATAAACCTTTGCAAGGATTTGTAGACGAGTGGCTAAGGCCAGATACATTCACAGCTTCATTCTCAGAAGGCTCAGATTTCAACTGCTGGATCTGCTCTTTCTCTTGCAAATACTTGTCGACATGCTTCTTCAGCTCAAATAGCATGTCATCACTGACAGCTTGGATGTCAATCTCTATCTCTCCATCACCAGGCATATCTGTACTGCTGTCTTCTTTTTTTGATCTCATATCTGTATTGCTGTCGATGCATTGTTGCAGCAGTTCAAAGATGTGAGGAGGTAACTCATCGGATATAGAAGCCAAGCAGTTCCCAAAGGCTTCTCTCTCTTCAGCTGTCATCTTTGGTTTTTCAGGCTCTGTCTGCCGTACACCTTCCATTGACACATCACTGCGGTCCACAGGAGGCGTCTTCCTCCTCTTCGAGTCAGCCCTGTCAACCTCAACATGTTTCTCAGTGGCAGCAGAAGCCAACTTCTTCTCAATTGGCCTCCATCGACTCTCAAACATCTTGCTCAGTTGGATGGCCATGTCATGCACAGCGTGCCCCTTAGGATTATAAGCCATAGCGTTGTTAAAGGTCAGCCTGACATCAGCAGCAAAATCTGATGGACTTGTGTATGAGCCAGATTCGAGCTTCTTCTGGACAGTACCAAGATCCATTGGGGTCTTGACAATATCAAAATAATCAGGAATTTGCAGCTTGACTACATCAACTGGAACATTGAATATATGACTATATTTCTGAGTCATAAACTTCTTCAAAATAGCTTCACACTGCTTAAACACTGCTGCTTCAGATAACACCGTAGAAGGTTCAGGTCGGGGTTTTGTAGGCAAGAACCGTCCCTTTGCACCACGGATAACATTGGTCACACCACGCTGAGACTTCTGTGGCTTCTTGGCTCGAGGGGCAGCTGAGGATGACAAGGCAGGTGCCCGACTGAGAGGAACAGGGGCTGCAAACTCTGGCTTCTTGAGGAGATCCCGCACGGAATCAAGCTCTGCCCGGAATCTCTTCCGAAGATACCGCCGTTCAGATGACGACATCTTGGACGGCACAAAGATCTCCCGCTTCACATCAAAGCCATCGCTGTTCAGGCTGATGCACTTGCGCTTTGGTGCCGAAGAGTCCTCGGAATCGACACGAACAGGACTACCAGCTGCAACTTCCGACTCGCCGACAGTCTCTGTATAACCACGTGACGCGGCTGTCGCCACGCCCCTGAAAGCCATTTCCTCATATCCCCGTTTTATTGGCCTCTGCTGCCCAAACTCCATTAAGACCGTCGGTGTCATGTGCCCAGGCGCCAGCGGGCCACAGATCTGTTCAGCATTTACAACCATTTTCAGTGGCACACACCAAATTCAAGCTACACAGGCAACAGAAAAGAGCATGTAAAGACAAAAATTAACAATATCCTCTCCAAAACCCTAATCCTAAATGGGTACCTTAACCACAACACGAGCCACCAATCGCGCACGAATCCAACAGAACAGGCCTCAAATCCTCCAATTCGCGCCCGAATCAGACACCTCCCCGCACCAATCGAAAAAACCCCAAAAATCCAAAGCTATTCCAAATTCGAAACAAGGGGATGCGAGCCCGGACCTGGTAACGCTGGATCTGAAGCAGCTGCGACCCCAAGGTCGGGATCCGGAAGCGAGGCAACGGCGTCCACGCGCGGGCTCGCCGGGGAGCTGGATCTGCTCGGGAGCGGGACGGATCTGGGAGCGCGCGGTGGCCGCCCGGTCGCGCCTCGCCTTATCCTCTTTTTTATTTTTCGCCTCGCCGCTCGAGTCGAGTCGTCTCCGTGCTGCAGCTTTGCTTATCCTTTTTTTCCTTCTCGAGGCGACCGAACCCAAACCCACTACTGCTTTGCGCACGAGAGGTGAGACCCGAACTGGTAGTAGAAGCGATGCGACCGTGACGTGCTGGGTGGCGAGCGCGCTCGGGGTGCGTATTTATAGGCCTAGGCTGGGCGCGGAGGCGGTGCAAGCCGGATCCGGGCCGTCGGCTGGTGGGGATCGGACGGACCAGGCAACAGATCGGCGAGTGGGTCCGCCGTGAACGGGTGGGGCACGACGTGACGTGGAGGCGGGGGGCGCTTTGACTTTCTTCGAGACGGTTTGCAGGCGGACGCGAGATTGTTGTCAATATATCAATGACTGGTGGGTCCGAAAGGTGAGCTGGGTCCGCATGTCATGTATGGTGTGTAGCAAGAAGAGTACGCGTTGGAAGCGGCCGTCTTTTGTCGACCACGCGGGATCTGGGTACGGTTTGGGCGCGGAGTGACTTGGTGAGGAACGATACGTGACGCGTGGAAGCAGCTGCGTGCCCTTGGTGGGTCCTTAGCTGAGGTGTCAGGCGGGAGCACGTAACGGGTTGGATTTCGGGTCCAGGTACATCTCGAAGCTATAGTACTATAACAATGGATGTAACGGGTTTGGCGTTATTGGGCCGGATCTCGTAGCTTCCGCAGCAGTAGTGATAGGCCCAGGTTTTCTACGGGCCAAAACTTTTTATTTCTGGAAGGACTTCCAAGTTTTCAATCCGTAGCCAAAACTAGGCCGTACGGTGAGGAGTTGGGCTTTATTGGGCCGTATTTGTGCTCTAGAGCTCTACTCCCCTGCCGTAAAATACACACATGGCTTATTGTAGCCCGCCACTATATTTATTCATCTTATTATTCAGCCTTCTCCGAAGAGCTTGCTTCAGCTGCAGTTTTTTTTTAAAGTTGCTTCAGCTGAACTAAACACACTTGCAGAACTAAGGATTTTAGGGTGGGTATTTAAAATTTATAAAGTGGTGTCAAGATTTTTTTTGTTTTATCGCTACATAAATATACTATTTAGCATGTATAATATCACGCATTAGTAAATATTTTGGTCTAATATTTAGCCTAGTACTCATTCCATCCAAAAAAGAATATAATTCTAGCACAATGTTATGTTTTAATATTTTAAGTTTGACAAATTATAGATAAAATGTATCAATATTTATGACATCAAATAAATATCATTAGACTAATTGATTTAGAGCCATAAGATGTGAATATCATTCATAAAAAACTTGGCCAAACATGAACCACTATAACTGGCACACAACTTATAGTTGTATTTTTTTGGGACAGTGGGAGTACTTTTTTTTGTTTGGCTTCTAACTAGTTCTCATTGCCTATTTGCCAAACAAAAAGTTGGAGTTGTTGTTTTGCCTCACTTGAGTTCTTCCTCCTCGTTGCGTCTGTTACACGGCCGTTCGCTGGTCTTATCAGACCAGCCAGCCGGCTGATCCTTCTCTCAATTTATTGTTCACCAAACCAGTCAAACAGTGTTTTTCTCTCACAACAAATCAGTCGGAATAGTATTTTTCAGCTAAGTTTCAGACCAGCGAATGAGGCCTAAGGATGCGGGTGCACGCAGGGGAGAGTTTGACTAGCAGGCCCATGCATCCTCACGCAATGGACGCGCGCACGTCCTTACCGCGTTATGCTCTTGCACCTCTCCTGACTCGTATTTATTCAGACTAACGGTCCGTGACCATACTCCGACTATAGAACAAACTTCATAATGCTACGTCCACTCGTAATTCAGTATAACGGTCCGTGACCATACGAGTAAGAACACACACATGTATACGTCCACAACAGTATAGAGTCTGGCATGGCCATTACGTATTCTAAGCCACAAGTTGTTTAGACGATGATATAAGAAAGTGTATATTTCTCATTGGTCTGGCTTGTGTTTACCGAGGCCATTTTAATGGGAGTTTCACATGAGTTTTATTTGGATTTAATAGCCTGCCACATATACACTTTTGATGACATGTCATCGTTTTAATGAAAAGAGAGAAGAATTGAATTTCATAGGGACGAAACTCTCTTGGCGCAGTTACCAACTCTCTATGAGTCATATAATTAAATGTCTATAAAACTATGGAATGAAACTTTCCATTAAAAATGGTTGTTTCATCTAAGTTTTATTTCATTAAATACGACATGGCACTCTTGGAAACAATGAAATGAAACTCTCCACGGAGAGTGGCTTAGTAATACTCGAATTACTACAGGCCCACCTCATCGTGCCGCAACAAGCTAATGGGCATTTCCCCAAAATGAAAAGCCCAAGCTGATGTTGATGGACCAAAGACCATCAGGCAACCAAACAAATCTAAGCCGGCCGGACCACAGAGGATCCACGACCTACCCGCGCACATGGCCGTCAGGCCAGGATTTTTTTAACATTTTTTTAAACTATTTTTAATTTTAACACTGTTTTTTTTAAATCTAACACTTTTTGCCGCACCTATTGCTATGGCGCGGGCAAACAACACTGTCGCGCCATGCATGGCGGCGCGGCAGTGACGATGACGTGGCACTTCCACGCGCCATGGCCGCTGAGGTGGTAGGATTTTGCCTCGATTTTGTGCCTTGATTCTGGCCTCATTCTTACGGTGCTTCGATTTCAAAATGTAAAGCGAACACGAAATGGGGAGGCTGGGTCCGCGGCCAACTCTAAAGCAGGACTAAAAGATGTGTGTAACGACGGTGGAATATAAAATTCAGAAATGAACAGTACCATGTACTCTAAAAATTTTGAACTAGGAAATAAAAAAAGTTAGGTACGGTGAACAGTGAAAACATGACGACCAAAAAAATATACTGTCGGGGACCAATACTAGGGTACCCAAAGAGGATGAGTTAATACCTGTCAACATTGATTTGTCCCAGCATCAGGAGCACGACTACACATCTTGCTGGGCATCGCCTCATCCAGCCACCAAGGTCGTGGGCTCCATCTCGTCCGACCCCCAAGGGTCGGCTCGACCTTGGCTGGCTCCCGAGGGATGGCTCCACCTTGTTCGACCCCCGAGGATTAGCTCCGCCTTGCCCGATGTCTGAGGGTTGGCTCCGCCTCGTCCGACCCCCGAGGGTTTGGCTCCGGCTTGCTCGACGTCTGAGGGCTGGATCCGCCTCATCCGACCCCCGAGGGTTTGGCTCCGCCTCGCCCGACGTCTGAGGGCTGTTCTGCCTCGCCCCGACGTCCGAGAGCTGGCTCTGCCTCGTCCGACCCCCGAGGGTTGGCTCCGCCTCACCAGACGTCTGAGAGTTGTTTCCGCCTCGCCCAATGTCTGAGGGCTGGCTCTGCCTCGTTCGACACCCGAGGGTTGGCTCTGCCTCGCTCGACGCCTAAGGGCTGGCTCCGCCTCGTCCGACCCCGAGGGGATGGCTCCGCCTCGTGTGACACCTGAGGGTTGGCTCTGCCTCGCCCGACGTCTGAGGGCTATTTCCACCTTGCCCGATGTCTGCGCGCTGCTCCTTCATAACTACGCGTGCAGATAAGGCAGGGTGTAACACCCCAGGTGTTTGTCACCAGTTAAGCAATGGGTTTAAGCTCAACCTTGACATGTTAAGTGGTGTTGGAGATGCTAGGTCAAACATATGAAAATGAGCCACCACTTAAAACTTAGTCCATGCACCATTGCTTACATGTTGCCCTTTCTAAAAAGTATGCTTGAGTAATGCTAGATGTACTTGTTTCATGTGTCTCGCATCAATATCCATCTATATTGATCCATGGAAAAGTTTCATGAAGTTTGGAATCAAAAAGTCACATGAAATGATAAGTCATATCTTTGCAGGAATTGCTTTATCAAGTTGATGGAAACCTATGACGTCAACCAAACCTTGCAACCTTGCTCAAACAACTCTAATTGAACTCTACAACAAAAGTCATGAAGGGTTTGTGTTGAGCACATGTCAAGAAAAGGCCTCAAATTGGTCGAAAACTCTAATTCTAGGGTTAACGAGATGCTGCTTTGACCAAAGTAAAAGAATGGTTTATATTCAAGATACAAGGTTTGACCTTAAATAAAAGTTGTAGTATCATTTGTGTACTACAAACTTTATTTAAGGACCCAAGTCTAAATATATCTCTAAGCTGGACAAACAAAGGTCACAAGATTGATTCTGCTGCAGTCTTTAGCACTTAGAATTATTCTAAGTCTGGAGTTTCGCTAAGCAACGACGTTGGCATTCCGCGTTCTCCAAAATTTGTTAAGCAACTTGAGTTGGTCCAAAGATAAAAGTTGGAGTGTACATGATGACGAAGATCATGTATAAAGATGGCACTCGTTGGACCTTGTTTTGACCCTCGATTTTGGGAGTTTGTTAATCACTGTCAATGCATTGATACTTGCTAATTGGACATTAATTAACTGTTGTTCCAAAGACCTAATAGGTGTGACCCCTTAATCAAGTTTGTAGAGCTTCTTGAGTAGAGCAACTTTGCTACTGGAGCCAAGGTCGGAATCTGCACGGAATATGCCAAAGAATGGACTTCAAGTT